TTTTTGGAATCTCTTAGAATTAATTTGGTTTGCGGTCCGTTTTGCCATGCACTCCTCACTCAGATTAGGGATTTTAATTGAACGCCACGTCCCGGTAGATTCAATGGTTGCAAATCATTAATACGAAGTGGAATAAATGCCGGCGGCCTTGGCCCAGTGGCCTCGATTGGATTCCCACTCGTCCTCTGTGACACATGTAGGTTTTCTTTTAAGTCTGACTTACTTGCACCACTACTATACTGCACGGGGGTGAGAGAGGGGGGGGGGGGCATCTGTGCAACCATCAAAATGTGTCAGATCGGAGGCAAGAAACCAGGTCGGCTGTTACCAAATCCAGCTGTGGTTTAGATTGATGTTGTACAGCAGACACTGATGAGAATACTTTGAAAATGTATTTACACTGCAAAAAGCAATATCTAGGTAAGTTCTATTAAAATGACTTAAAGGTGCACTGTGTAACTTTTGTTTCTATGGATATATCATTGTTCTGCCTGGAATTTTCCACAGTGTGACATTAAACAGTTCTATTTTACATTTCTTTTTATTACAACTAGTTTTACATAGAAATTTAAAATACAGTCATCCCTTGCTATATCGTTCACTTTTGCGGTCTCGCTGTTTCATGCATTTTTTTTTTTAAGAAGGATGCAAAAAGGGTTAACTGTCCTGTCTGAGAAAAGTGTCAAAAGTCTGTGGTGAGGGGTTTTACAGCCTTAAAACAGATATAATACTTGTAAAATATAAAGTTGACTACTTTGCGGATTTCACGTATTGTGGGTTATTTTTAGAACGCGATAAACGAGGGACCACTGTACCTAGACAAACAGGCATTCTAACTGTGAGCGGATTGCCTCTCCATAGATCTGACCTGTACCTTGGTCTTGTTTGGTCTCAATGAAGATAGAAAGGATACCATCCTGTGAAACATTCCAGACAAAGCAAAAGCATCTCCATGAAGAAGAGCATTTGATGAATCCTCCACTTGACATGTTACACAATGCACCTTTAAATGACCTTACAAAAGATGCGTGAGTTTTCAAGTGTTCATCCAAAGTTCTGACTCCACATTTGTACTGCAAAACAGAGAACAGTTGTACAAGCCAAGGGAAAATATTTGTGAATGCATTTGGGGCATGTGAACAGCAGCTCTGAGTCTAAGATAGTTAGTCACTGAGCAGCACTCACATCGTCTGAATGTGATGTGAGGATGTTATGCACAAACTGGTGACTGTCCAATGTGGAACAAAACTACACTGTTATAGTGCAGTGTTGTCACAATACTACAGTTTCAAACTCCATGTGGGAATAGACGTGATACTCACTGATTCTAATACCACAATAATCATTAAAAGTGCATTGTGTAAATTTTATGTTATTGCTTTGTCTGGAATGTTTCACAGTATCGTATTGAACCTTTCTATCATTATGGAGACCAAACCAAACCAAGTTACAGGTCAGATCTGTGGAAAGGCGACCCCACTCACAGTCAGAATGCCAGTTTTTCTAAGTAATTTTGAGTGGAACATTCTAGGCAGAGCAATGACACATCCATAGAAACAGTCAGTTACATAGTGTACCTTTAAAAAGACTCTTTCTTTAGATAATAGAAAGCAATTTTAAACAATAAATAATAGTACTTTTTAAATATTACCATGTAGTTGTATATCTGTGTAATCCCTTAATAGTCCAGGTAGGTTCCATAGTGGTCCATGGGTGTATTCTAATCTATGTGCTCTTATACTTGTTCTGATACAGCTCAAGATCATTCTAAACCTACTCAGGAAAGGTTCATTTCTGTCCTGTGAATGTGATTTTTTTAAGTATTGATACTTGCTCAAATGAGTATATAGTTTAATATTGAAGTAGTGATTTTTGACAACCCTAGTCCAGTGTGGAACAAAACTTCACTGTTGTCTGAACTTTGCCCCAGCTTCTACTCACACAATCAGTAGCTTTGATCAGAGACCAGTGAAAGTGTTACAAGTTTTAGCCAATTTGAGCAGTGCTATTTTTGGTTCAGTTTCAGAACTAAATTGTTTTAGTTGGTGCCAGTTCACAAAGGGAAAATCTCAAAGACTGCTCTGGGGGATTACTTGGCAAACGTGCATTGAAAGCCTACAAAAACATCCTAGGATAATTATGTCTTTATTATAATTTACATATGTTTATGGGTTTATTTGCATTAGAAAGAATGTGAGTCACAATGTGGTGTTATAGACACCTGTTGGGAGGGTAAGTGCTTTCCTTTTGACACATTTCTGTTTTAAATACAAACCCCAAGCCAAATATAGACCTGTACAAACTACAATGTGAACGCTATAAGCTCCCCCTAATCAACATGCACAAAAAAGGACTTGTAATAAGCATCCTCAAAGCGTGGTACAGTATAGTATAAGCAAGAGTCAGCCAGATGCATATTGGACTATGTTCTTGTCTATGTTATAATGTATTCTCATCAAAAACATACCTGGAGTTGTGTTTTGTTTCATTCATACATGTATAACACACAAATCCTGCATATTTAGAGTTCTTCACTCCTCCTTGTGATGTAATGTGGCAATACAGGAAGTGCTCCACTGTGCGTGTTTTTCCATACATCTTTACTAGAATCATTTGGATGATTTCCACATTCAAACAGCCCTCAGAGTGGAGTGTTTTAAATCTCATTTTAAGACCCACTTTTACTCTCTGGCTTTTAACACGGCGTAAGTTGTGTGGTCCTCTGTGTTTTTTATTTATTTTAATGTATTTTTATTGGTTTTATTTATTTATTGCTATTCTATGATTTTGCTCTTATTTTATTTTACTGGTTTTATTATTTTAAGGCTAGTATGATTATTTTAGTAGTTTATTTTATTATTTTATTATCGTTATTATTATGTATTTGTGCAGCACTTTGGAAATTGTTTCTTTGTGAAATGTGCTATAGAAATAAAGTGGATTGGATTGGATTTCAGCCCTGGAATTGTCAATCTGTACGAAACAAAAGCTAAGTAACTGCTTGAAAACTATCACTACATGACATCACAAGGTTGAAAAGAGCATTTTGAGCATTAAAGATGTACATAGACTAATAATAAAGGATTACTCAAACAAGTGTGAACAACGCCAGGTATGTTTTTTGCGGAGGTAACAACATTCTAATATGGCTTAAAAAGGGCCTCAGGTAATAGCAGCAGTCATGGCAACTTGAATGAATACTGTCATATAATGTATACAGTATTTGTTTACCCGCACACAAACAACCTATAGTTTTGGATATTGAACATAACTCATCGCACAGAGCTCACCAGATTCAGAAACCTCTTAGGTCACCAAAACATTACAATATACACAGTTACAATATACCTGTTGACAGACTGACTCTCAGTGAGCACAGATACCTAGCGACAAAGCTCCCAATAATCACAGTCCTCAGAGCCCACACCTGTTCTGAATTCATTTGTATTCTTCTCTGTGTTCTGTGCAAATGTGTCCACCAACCACAGCTGCTCAGTGTTTAGTCCAGCCCTTTTATGTAACAGGCAGCTCCAGTAAGAGAAAAAGAAACATGTGGGAGTCAGCTGGAGATGAGATGTCAACGCGCCGACAGCAATCTCATCTCACGCAACACTGTACATTTAACCAACAAGATCCACGTCCGAAAACCGGTCTTTACAAAGAAAGCACAAATTAAATCAGTCATTATGCTTTCCCTTTTTCCCAGCTATTATTTTGCATAACATCTCCGGCAGCAGTGGCGCATTCACGTTCAATTCGCAGAGGTCCTGGGGGCGATTCGAAGCAGGTTTTTAGACACTGCCAATCCACTTATCCACCCACCTATTCCTGACTGCTGCAGAGCCGAGTGCACCATGGAAACACTCATTTATGTGTCCCCGATGATGTATGAAGTATTTAAGATCTCACATTGAAACTGGCTCTGGCGTGTCAACAATAGAGCCCCAGCTATAGGGTCTGCCCTGTTTGGAAATATGTAGGGGTGACGTAAACAGCCGCACGAGCATCAAAACGTAACACAACAATCGGCAGGCAAAATTAATCTCTTGGTTCAACAGCCATAAATGGAAAAGAAAAAAACTAATTGTGAAATCCCTTGCAGAAAATTAAGAAGTTGGGTCAATGATGCTTGTAATACTTGATGCAGGCCAACCATAGAAAGAGATGGAAGACATGGGCTTTGTGGGGTGGAGATGAATGCTGCACTGTGTAACTTCTTTGGCTCCACAAAAGTTCCACAATATGGCATTAATCTCCATAGGGACAAACAGATGACACCACCAGGTCAAGTTATAGGTCAGATTGGAAGAAAGGAGAGCCTGCTCACACTAATAATGGGTGTTTTTCTAGGTATATTTGAGCATTTAAAGGGGGGAATTAAATATATGCAAATAGACAAGTTTAAAGCTGTACTGTGGAACATTCCAGGCTATATCACCATTGTGAAAAGAAAGTGATGGACCCCAGGGAAAAGTTACATAGTGCACCTTTATGTTATTTGATTGATTGTTGCTTGTTATTGTTTATTGATGTTCTCTCTAAAGAAAAACGTCTGCCCTAAAATATATTTAAAGGTGCACTATGTAACTTTTAAACCTTTCTATCTTCATGGAGAGTAAACCAGGCCAAGTTACAGGTCAGATCTGTGGAGAGGCAACCCCGCTCACAGTCAGAATGCCTGTTTTTCTAGGTATTTTTGAGCTATAAAACCACCTGTAATTGAATAGATTTAAGGTAGACATATCCATGCAAACAAGAAGGTGATGGAACCCCAACCAAAAAGTTACACAGTGCACATTTAAACTGATGTGGCTGGCTGTGGTTTTCTAATGGATGGAGCTCAACTGTGTATTTTAACATGGTATAAAAAGCAGGATTTTAAAAACTTGAACACCTGCATTTATACAAAACTAAACAGATGAAAACGAAATTTAAAAACCGTAAACTGACAAATTAAAAACTAGGATCGGTAGTTATCATGGCAACCAGCAGTTACTTACCCACTGAGCACTACGATGAAGTCCATGACGTTCCAGCCGTTCCTCAGATAAGAGCCTTTATGGAACACAAAGCCCAGGGCCACCAGTTTTATCCCAGCCTCGAAGCAGAAGATCCCAATGAAGTATGGCTCTGACTTTTCCTGTTCAAGTCAAACATCCAAACATATTTTTATTGGATTTGCATAATTAACCATAACAAAAATACAAGCTCTTACAAGTCGTTTTGCCATGGGCGTCTTGTCCTCTCCGGGGAGATGCTGCTCCAAGGCCAGGACCACACAGTTGGCGGTGATGGTGGCCAGAATCATGTACTCAAATGGAGTGGAGGCACCAAGTTAAGGAATAATCTTTTTTTTTTTTTGGTTTTGGTTTGTTTGTGTTTAACTGGCAACCAAAACAGTAATTGAAACAGTATCAGTGGCTCTTTAACGGATCCATATTGCACTATTTTCTGATCTGTGTTTGAATGTTATTGCCTCATCACAAATACACCTGGAATTGTGCAAACTGAAAACACTCTGTTCCACCTTGTGATGTCATATGGTAACACAGGAAGTGCTCCATTGTGTTTTTAAGCTCCATACACCCTAGATTTGCCAATTGCTAATGAACTGAAGATAAAAGGTAGCTGTTAACTTGATGCCATCACAAAGTGGAACAGAGCATTTTGAGCTTTGAAGATGTAAGACTAATAATAAAGGGTTACTCAAACATGTGTGATTGAAAAAAAACACAACTCCAGGCATGTTTTGATGAAGTAACAGCATCATAACATGACTGAAAGCTCAGAAGAGTCATTTTAGTGTAATATAGGACCTTTAAAATGGGACTAAACACGTAAACGTAACAGAGCTGCTAAACTGGGCAGTATCTGGAGGACTAAAGGGGAGAGTAAGGGAGGAGGAGGGGTAAAGGAGGGTAGGGTCTAGACATAAAAGGAACAGTGTGATTCACAGAGCCCAGTGAAGGCAGTACAAACTTAGATTTAGGCATTTTAGACCAGAAAGCTGCAAATTGTTCTAGTTTACACATCAAAAACACACAAAAATTACTAGGAACAATAGATAATGCTATTAAAACACTATCAAAGTGGATTTAGTGTTTAGTTCCACTTTAGCTTCAGCAAATACAACAGTTAGAAAATCGTTGTCTATATCCTTGCATTGGCTACAAGTGCACAAGTACATAACATTATAGTGTATGTAAATAGTGTGTGTTGATAGTTTTGGAAGAAAGACAAAAAGTATGTAAAATTAATCTGTAGAACTGGTTGAGCATTGCTTGATGTTTATAGCCCATGACAGTTGCATTGCTCTCTGTTGGAAGCAATCTATTAGAAAAATGGTCGTATCCATGGCAACCTGCTTTTAAAAGTGCTTTTCACGAAGAGAAAAAAAGAGAAAGTTCAGCGGGAGACAGAGTGCCGCGAACTTACCTTCACCTGACATAACAGTTTCCAATAACATCATCAGCTACCATAGCATACACTGCAGTGTCCATGAATGCTAAATGTTATCAGGTAAATAAGGCTCTGCAGTTAATTAAATTCAGATAGTGGTTACAAATACAATATTGCTCCATTTCTATCGATACTTTACAGCTAATGTCGTCAACATTTCCTAGGGTTCTGAGCCACGGCAAGCCTTAGATGAGGTACAGGTAGATGACTATGAAACGTAAACTCAAATTTTACTTATTCAGCAGCATACACACAATTCAGAAATTCCTAGGCGAGCTTTGGAAGGGGGTGGAGAGCTACAGGTTGGAGACCCCTGGTACTGTCACAAGCAAAATAATATCAACCAACAGTTTTTCAGTTTACTCTCACCTTTTTGTTGAAACTCACAACACCTAGACAAGACCATGAATGCTTGTATCGATCACAGGCTCAGTGATCAAAAGTATATCTATGTATCTGACCCAAACTACACTCACAAAACTCCAACAGCACGAGTTCATGTAAAAGCAGAAGAAGAAAAGTGCAGTGTATTTAAATGTAAAAAGTAAGATTAAACCCACACATATGTTCTCATGCTGTTGTTGCCTTATATAAATTCTTACAGTCAAAATAAAAAAATACTGAATACTAGGCGTGTAACGATATCCAAGTCTCACGATACGATATCGTAATGGTATTAACCTCACGGTACGATATTTATTGCGATATCATGGGAAAGCTCACAATACGGTGGAGAGGCTCACGATTAGGAATGTAAAAATATCAAAATCTCATGATAAGCATCTCGTGGTACAATATTTATTGCAATATTTTGTGGAGGTTAACAAAACTGTGAATATGCTACTTTTTCCTCTTAAAATGCCTTGACAAGATTTAATCCAAACAACTAAGACTTAAAAGTGCTTAGAACTGTTATTTTTTCTTGTAGTCTACACTGAAATGGAGCAAAGGATCATGGTCTATGTAGCTCCCTCTGTTTTTTTTTTTTAGCGATTGCTGCACCATAACTCTTCATTTAAGCAAAGAGACTTGTCATTCGATATATGTGATGATCCACGATATTATTGTGAGAACTTTGACGATACGATATCACCATATTTTGGTTATTGTTACATCCCTGCTGAATACTTAGAAGACTTTCACATTGACTTGCATTATATTATAGTGCAAATGGAGACAAGCTAGTGACAGAACCTCCACCAGAAAAGTTACACTGTCCACCTTTATGTACATGTATTTACTTACCACCTAACATAGCCTGTACCACTTTGAGTCACATATACATTCCATTCTCAGACACTCTCTATTATAAGCTCTGTACTTTCTATTTCGCTTGATTCCCCACATGCTCTACCTCTCTGTAAGTATGTTTAGTCTAGAGGGAGCTCACATATATGTCTCAGACTTCAGTCCCAGACGCTTGGTGCTGCTGTCCCTGGCCTCCCTTATTACCCATGATGCTGTGAGGGAAATGAGGTCAGTGAGTCACAGAGGAGCGGAGACGAGGGCCCCTGGGAGCCCCTCTGATACATCTGCACACTCCATTCTGGGGTTGTTCAAGGCTTCAAAGTACCTTAAACGGCTAATGCTTAAAGGTGCACTATGTAAGGTGTAAGGTTGCTTGTCTCCATGGTGATGTTATTTCTTTCCCTGGAATGTTTCACAGTAGGGCATTAAACATATCTCCCGTGCATTTGTTCAACTGCAGGTGTTTTATTGCTTAAAATACCTTAAAACATGGATTCTTACCATGTGCACGCTTGCTTCACCATAGATCTGACCATTAAGCTGTCTCCATTGTTATTGTCAAGGAATTTCGCCATGGAGACAAGCAGGTAGCGGGCCGTCCACCAAAAAAGTTACACAGTGCACTTATAATGAATAATGTGACTATGCCTATGTTCTAACCCATTATTTTACGGGGCAGGTAAAATGAAATGAATCTGGTTAAAATGCAGACTTTAGTTGTAATACAGTGAGTTGTAAGGTTCAGTTTATGAATTTACTTTTTGGATGATTCAACGAAAAGTACTCTGATTGTACTCTGTAACTGGTAGGGAAAACTGACTCTCGACCCCCATCATATTCTAGTTTAATCACGTTTCAAAAACTTAAAACTCAAGAAATACATCAATACTGAACACCAATTATGACACCACTTTAGAAAAAAGAATGTAATTTTCAAAATAAATCATAGTACTTTCTTTTCTATTACCATGTGGTCTTATATCTGCATAATTCAGGAAGGTAGGTTCCATAGTGATCCATGGGTCTATACTTATACTTGTTCTGATACAACTCAAGATAATTCTAAAACTATTCAGGAAAGTTTCGTTTCTGTCCTGTAGATGTGACTTTTTAGTATCAATACCTGCTCAAATTAGGATTTCAACACTAGTATTGATTAGTATCTGATTTCCAATACTTCTGACAACCCTATTCTTGATAACATCTGCACCAATTCTTCAGACCGATATGCCAGAATATATCAGGAAGAGTTGATGGGGAAATATATAAAATAACAAAACTATATTACAGGTCATATATTACACAAAATTAACTCTTGTGAGGTTTTAGTCATGTTATAATGGTGATACCTCTTCAAAAACATATGTGGAGTCATGTTTTGTTTCATTCACACATGTCTGAGTAACCCTTTATTATTAGTCTATATACATTTACAAAGCTCAAAATGCTCTGTTCCAACTTGTGATGACATGAAGTGCATTTTATTCAGTACAGATGGGAATTTCAGGGCTGAAATCATCCAAATGATTCTAGTGAAGGTGTATGAAGTTAAAAAACACAATGGAGCACTTCCTGTATTACCACATGACATCACAAGGTGGAACAAAGCGTTTTCTGTACGAGAGAATAATTCAGCTTAAATATGCAGGATTTGTGTGTTAAACATGCATGAAAGAAACAAACCACAACTCCAGGTATGTTTTTGATGAGGAAACAACATTATAACATACTGTAGATCCGAAAATAGTGCAATATGAGCCCTTTAAGCAGAGAAGCACTGAAAGACAATGCAACAATCATATCATAATCCAAATGTATAATGTTACTTCGCCCACTCATGACTCTTTTGGCATTCAAAACAAAACATCTGAAAATGAGAAAAATCTTAGCTTGTTGTCTTGACTTTTATAATATTATGACCACTGCCTAGTACCTACTGCAGTCAAAGAAAGTACTATATGGTAGGATTAAAGCCATATGGGACAAAAAGTTTTAGTTTTGCATAGTTTAGCCTGGAGAGGGGAGCTCAAGTGGTTCAAGTGGGTACTTATACAAAATCAAGGCTGTTGCTGTAGATTGTTGAAATATGTGAAAATATGCAGTTTCATAGCAATCTTACATATTTTTCTCACATTAAATATCACTTGGGGTTGCAGACTGTCGCATAATTGCTGTCAAATTATTCAGTTTACATCCAGGAATGTATTAGGTAATTATTAGGTAAATCAATAATTGTGATAAATCAGGTCACAATATAAAAAGATTAAAAAGTGCACCTTAAAGAGGGGGGATTTTACTTTCATGGGGTATTAGCTGATAACACATAACATGTTTAGATTGCCATGTTACCTTTTATTGTTTTGAAAATCCTATATTGCTGAAAACAACATAATAACATGTTTAATAAATTTCACTTTTGTTTTTGAAGCTCTGAGTCACTCTTCCCTTTGCTCTCCATGCCACTTCCCCTTCAGAGCGCTGTCACAACACAAAACTACCGAAAGTACTGTACATCATGTCAAAACTGTGCACAGTTTTGTTGCATGCTTTTGTAAATTTATGGAAAAATGCCATGTGGGAGCTTGAATAATGTAGGCTTGTGAGCTGAGCATTGCACAGAATCTTACAGCTAAGTGTAAGGAGGGTTCAAATAGGGCCTGGGAGAGAACTGCTAATTTACTGAAATATGCGTGGATGAAATGTAGGGGGACCACATTATAATATGGCAGAAAGCTCCATTAATATCATCAATTTTGCATAATATTGCCTCTTTAAGTTCTACAAACAACCACTCTAGACATTTGCCCACTTTTGTAGATGTTTTGAAACTGTTAACCACCCAAACTTAGCCCCCGTGAGCTTCGATATGGGTCTGGCAGTGCCAATACCCTAACGTGTTGCTTCTCCCAGCCCACGAGCCATGGTGGTACTATAGGCCAGCCCTCTCTCTCTGTCTCCCACATGCTAACTTTGCTGCCAGTGGCCAGCCTTGACCACTAGGCCCTACTCCTACACAACTATGGAGCTTCAGTGGTTAGGTAACACTGAAGAGACTGCACTGGTGGGGGTGTAAGACAGGAGGAGCTGTGGGTAGACTGGCAACTTACTGACTGGTGATGGTACTGGGCAGGCAATTATTCAAAAAAAGACATGGAGAGAGCTTGACAATGATACGTCTAAAAGTGGGATAGGAGTTTTGAATGCAGGTAGCATTGAGTTGTTATGGTTTGTTATGGTTGTTAAAAGTATAGAAAATTGGATACTAATCAATATTCAAACTAGTATCAAAACTAGACATGCATTTGAGCAAGTATCAATACTAAAAAAAAGTCACACTCACAGTATAGAAATGAACCTTTCCTGAATACCTTTAGAAAAACTTGAGCTGTATCAGAACAAGTGTAAGAACACACAGACTAGTATACGCCCAAGGACCACTATGGAACTGCACTACTGGGACGACTGAGAGATTACACAAACATAAAGCTGGATGGTAAGAAAGTAACACGATTTAATGTTGAAAATACAATTCAGTTGTCTAAATTATGTTTTTTTTATCATCGTCAATGGTCAGTGGAATTGGTATTGAGTAATTCTTTAGTATGGAAATTATACAATAATAAACAATAATACGTGTTGTTGCAATATAAGCATATACTGTAATGCAATATAATGCAATATAATTTGGCAATAGGGAATTTTAGCCACTATAACAAATCAGTTATATTGCTTTTGGATTTTTTCTGACTACTAAATATTGGGCTGATCATTCATTTCAAATTGGTAGAACAGTAGTTATAGATACAAGACATTTAGTATTACCTCTCACTGCAGCAGATCAAAACATCAGAATCTGACACAAAGTTCAAGATATAGAACTATAGACTAAGAAGAACAATAATACATTAGCCTTTTGTAGCAATCTTCCAGAAGCTCAAAATCGCTTTACAATTTGGTGAATCATTCATTCACTCCACACTCAGTGGTGATAAGATGCTATTATAGCCACAGCTACCCTGGGTCAGACTGACATCACTCATGCACACACTACATTCATACTAGGCAATGTGGGTCAAGTGCCTTGCCTAAGGACACAACAACAGTTTCTACCACTGGCGCCCCACTGTGGCACCTGGAATTCTCAGTGGTCTCCCATCCAAGTACTAATCAGGCCCAGCCCTGCTTAGTCTCTGAGATCTGACAGGATCAACCTTTGGCAACAAGGTTTGGCCACACTGACAAAAACATAAAGCAACATTCAATAAGTGGAGATTTAGGAGTTTTTTAACTGAATAAATCAAATGATTATGTTTAAATCAAATACTTTTGCAGTGTTGATCAAAATGGAAAAGTTCACAATCACAAATGTATGATGCTATTGAGTTTCACTGTGGAGTGGATCACAATTTGTTCCAATAAAATTCCACTCTCCATACACAGACTTTATTTAAACCTGGGTTGATCTATGCACATGCTACGCAAGCAATCAACCTCTCTCTAAAACCACCAAGTTTCTCATTTGTCTCCGAAGCCCCTGCAGTTACAAAGAGGGCCCACACTACATCATTTTGACTTGGTTAGATGTGTGGAAGTTGATGAGAGAGGAAGCGAAGAGAAGAGTGCGTGCTGGATTTGAACTGACACCTACACAGGAGCAGGTTCATATTCCAATGAGCACTAAGGCAGGAGAGATGTGCCCACATGCCTCCCCCACAGTGAGCCGAGCTGCTTCCAACCACCACCACATGCTAGCTCCCCACTCTCCTGCCAGCGCCCAGGCACCAGTACAGTACAGGGCTCCAACGCAAATAAGGTCCACACGCAAAGAGAGGTCAAAACCCAGTAAGATTTATCATGAATCAGATTTGAGTATACCTTTGTACCATTAAACATATCATTCAGACCAGATAGAGTACTGTTTGACTAATTTGAATTAAGGCTGAAAGGTGAATTGCAGTCGAATTGAAATTGCAATCAAAGGCTGACAGTTTTTCGTATTGTGATTTCCTCCACAAACGACAAAACATTCTACTAACCTTGAAGTTTAGATCTGTACAAACATGCTCTGAAATGTTATTCTTGTATTAGTTTGTCTTTGTACATTTCAGTCTTTTTGTCAATTCTTCTGGATGCGTTTCAAGGTGAACTTTTAACAGAATCGTATTATTTAAGCACAAAGCTTGTCAGAAAAATCACAATTCTATAGTTTCCCCAAAACATTCGGCCTTACTTTGCATTAATATCATGGTATATATGACTTTAAATGATATTATTGGTATGAACCTAACAGATATACACTTAATACTGAAGGTGATTTAAGGTTTGGAATGAATGGATTTGATCAAGATATATGGGATTTCAAACACCAAGAGCTCTTCCTGTAGGGGGCGCTGTGACATGAAGCCTTTCTGCAGGATACAGTCTCAACAAACAGAAAATAAAAATCCAGGTGTGACTTTGATGTGCAAACTAAATTATAATATAACACAATCTCTAATTATTAGCTCTGTCCATGGTCCTGAACAGACCAGATTAAATTAGCACACACTTCTTAGCATATTTCACACATTATTTACATAAGGATCTTTTGGTGAGAAGGTGAGGGGGACTGCTTGTAACAGATAGTGCATAGTTTCATATTGCAATGGAAAGTATAAACTAGTCGTCAGCCATTATGTTGACAAACTTAACTAAAAATAAAACACTAATTTACAACTTGGGCACCATGCAAAAGTTCAGCCCACTCTTCTGTTATGGTTTATGACAATCAAACACAATGCAGCCTCTTCCTGACAAAACAAAAAAAAGTTATACACAAGTAGCCAGACTCAATCAACTCAAGTTTATACAGAAAAACTAATAAATGTCAAAATGATGTAGATGAGTCTGAAATGTCTCTTTAATGCAGACTTTCTTTTAAGAGCTGTTTTTTCTAGTGACAAAGGAAGGCGCTGTCCATGGTCCTGATCAGGCTATACGCAGCCTATTTGCACACACGTTTGTTACGCAAAGTGAATGTGTGGGGTGCTTCAAAGGGCACATCATGCTCATTTATACTGTACAAACTTTATGCAAAAGTACTTAACACAGTGGAAGGATATGGCCACTCGATGATCCGCCTCGCGTATTTCCGTATGATGTTGTCCTCCGCGAAGATGAAGAGCGACCTGTTGACGGTGAGGCAGTTCTGCCGGTGGGGCACGGGGTTGTACAGAGCCATGGTCCGGGCCCGCTGAGCCTTGGCTTGCTTCATTGAAGCGGTGAGTCCCGCAGAAGCAGCGGCTGCGTCCTGACCATCTCCCCCGCGCTCCAAGTCGCCATCCCCGGAGTCCACGGTACTAGGAGCCGTTTCGTCTCCGAAGCGAGCCATTCTACAAAGAAAAAAACAAAAACAAAAACGCGAAAACAGATTCACAAAAAAAAGAAAAAAAAAAGCGACCAGGATCCCGCCAAAAAGTCGCTATATCCTATTCCATTATCAGTTCACTTTGCATAAAAGTCACCCATAGACCTGGGATCAGGTGCTTCCAGCGTTATCCCATATGTTGAACACAGCGTTACGCACAACACGAACTAACTTTTAACACGCCTTGGTCCAAGTAACCTATTCAAAACATCAGCGAAAGCCGTTTTCAAGGACTGTTCTGCCGTCAGCAACCCGCAAAGGGCACAAGTCTTCCGCTAAAACTGTGGCCAAAAGTTTACGCATCTCCCCGAGTTGGCGCCAGCGGGAAGAGGTCATTTACAAAGGAAAGTTCCTCTAAACAAAGCGGCAGAGATGCTGTAATCTCTAGATCGCGATTATCACTTGGTGGATATTATCAGCAGCAGTAGCAGCCAGCATTTGCACAGTTAGCCCCCTCCCACTATGTTTCATGATGGCGATTTCCAAATTGATCTGAATGAAGAGTGGAAGACAGAGATGGAGGAGGGACCGTATATGTGCAGGTTTCCATGGTGATTACAGTTTGCTTATGGCTGAGAAAGAAAATGGAGAGAAAACATCCCCTTATACTAAAAAAGGTTCAAGGTTGCGTGGGTTAGTGCGGTTTAAAAGCATTATGTAAAAATGCTTGTGGGTGCTAACGCAAAAGGCGTGCGAAAGCATAACTTAACATAAACAATGGGCAACAAGTGGAGACACGAAGCTGTAGGAGCAGTGAAAGTGCGTTATTGATAACTCATAACGGGGCCTATGTCACTGTCACCATCGGAAAATTCAGACACGATTAGAACCGTCAAAAGTGGGCCATTGTGCTAATATTGGAGTAAAGTCTGGTGTAAAAATAGCGCATGAAATAGATTTTAGGGCTGCTCCCTTTTTGAGGCAGAGAGAGAGAGAGAGAGAGAGAAGGTGGAGGAGGGAGACAGCAGAGAGAGATAGAGAGAAAGAGACAGAGAGAGAGACTGAGAAAGAGGGATGGAGGAGGGAGACAGCAGAGAGAGATATAGAGAAAAAGAGAGGGGGGGGGGTCCTCTTCACACCACAAGTGAGACCTCGTTAGGCAGTGGGCTCTCTCTCTCGCCCCATCTGCCGTTCTGCTCGCTCCCCCACTGCTTCCTGAAGATGACCATCTCACCCCCCACACACTAAATACTACTGGGCCATCAGTGCACAGGTTTTTGAGTCAGGTAGTGACATACTAACCTTGTTATGGTGCTGGGGTCTTCTATAATGTAAAGGATGCCATTGGATTCAACTCTCCAGCAGTGGCTAATATATTGTGAAAGGGATGAGCAGATGTGGGATGTAGATGCTGTGTTAAAGTTTGAGTCACTGGGTTGTTCATAAATGTCAGTGTGTAATATGAGTGTACTGTTAAAGGGCCTATATTAAGCTGTTTTCTGATCTATGTTATAATGTTTTTTCCTCATTAAAAACATACCAGGAGTTGTGTTTTGTTTCATTCACACATTTGACACACAAATCCTGCATATTTAGGTGTTCTTCTCTCAAACTGAAAACATTGTTCGACCTTGTGATGCCATGTGGTATTACAGGAAGTGCTCCACTGTGTTTTTAAAACCACAGACACTTTCACTAGAATGATTTGGATAATTTCAGACGAGGAATTGCCAATCTCTACTGAACTAAAGGTAAAAGACTGTTAGCTATTAACTTGAAAACTATCACTACATGACATCACAAGGTGGAGATGTCGACAGACCAATAATGCCTACATATGCATGTCAAACGAGTGAATAAAACAAAACACTATAGGTATGTTTTTGATGAGGTAACAACATTATAGCATGACTTAAAAGATCATAAGAATCAATTTTGTGTAATATAGGACCATGATGTGCGCAGAGGACATTTTCTGATCAAATTCATTTTTACACTTTACAGATAGTTGACGATCATCTGGTGCAAAGACGAAATGAGAGGAGAAAAAAGTTTTTTCTGAACTTTTGCAGAACTTTATCAAAGGGATCACAAAATGGTCAGAGTGCAAGTGAAAAGCAGTGGGTGACATGCAAAAAAATATATATCATGATTTTGAATTTAGCACTTGATTCATGAAAATGTAGTAATGTTATGGTTTTTGCAAGATGTACCCAAAGTCATCTGTTTCTTCTGAAAGTTCACATTTCATTGCAATTGATTAAATGTACCTCTCACTCACTTAGACCATGACTGAAGCTCACCAGTAGGCTGTGTTGGTTAAGAAAAGTGCCTGAGTATTCAAGAAAAAATTTGTGAATCACCACGATTTTACCAAAATAGCAGATCATCACAAGAATGACAAAATGATTATATTTTTATCACTATATATATTGCCCAACCCAACAACTGGCAATCCTTAGACATATTTCAAGACATATTTTTCACAAGATGGAATGCAAGATTGGGTTCACGAGAATAGGACAAGGTTAGATTTTGCCATAATTTTTAATAAATAAATCATGCAGTTTATTGTGTAATTTTGTACCCACAACTGTTGATTTATTTTATCTGCTGTCGTAACCTACCAGCATCAACATTTGTATGTGTATCAAACATAGCTCTCAAGATAATCTTTCACACTGTACATCTGACAAAGAACTATTGATTGAAACTATAGTCTTGTTTGACACATTATAGTTGTACTGTTGTTCAATATGCCCTGTCCTTGTAAAAAAAATAAATAAATTACATAATCTTGTGCAGGCCTGTCACGATTTTTAGATTTTTTGCCATGAAATTTTGAAGCACAGGCAAGAGAAATATTGTTGTAATTGATAATATTTAAAATACTTTATGTCACAGTCACAAAGTAGGATAATCCCAGTAAACTCATTTTGAAACAGACAGTATCATTAAAGGTGCTGTATTTTGCACATTTTACTCTTGTGAGCTTTTAGCCATGTTATAGTATCAGAAACATACATGGAGTTGTGTTTTGTTTCCTTCACACATGTTGGTATGTTTGTAGTCTGTCTACATCGCCAAAATTCAAACTGCTCTGCTCCACCTTGATGTCACGAAGTGGTAGTGTTCAAGTTAACAGCTCCTTTTACCTTTACTTCAATGGCAATCCCAGGGCTGAAATTTTCCAGATGATTCTAGAGAAGGTGTATGGAGTTTAACACAGCGGAGCACTTCCTGTATTACCACTTTACATCACACGGTGGAACAGAGCGTTTTCTGTTTGAGAGAAGAACTCAAGTCAATTTTGTAAGTACCGTGACAGGCCTAATCATGGTAATCTTATCTCATGAGATCTTGTCCCATCTCTAATCCTGTTCGAACATCTTTTAGATTCACTTCACTGTACTGCGAAAGTTTTGTACTACATCTCAGCAGTGACAGAAAATTGAAAACTCCACAGATCCACGTGAAATGAATGTTTAGTGAAATTAATTATCCAAATTGTCACAGGTACTTAAAAGGTGCACTGCGCAACGTTTCTGGTGGACTTTTCTGGTGATTGTCTCCATGGAAATGTTATCACTTTTTGTCTAGAATGTTGCACAGTATAAATTAAACTTATCTATCACAAGGAAGACAAGCACTACGCTATATTAGATCTGTGAAGAGTCTGGAGGAACTGCTTTATTTTTGAGCAATACAAACACACCCGTAATGAATAAACGCTAGATGGATAATGTCATACCATGAAACAATAACAAGCAGGTGGCGGATCCTGCACCACAAAAGTTACGCAGTGCACCTTTTAGCTTGTGCCTGACAGTCTGGTCTCAGGTAGAAAGCTGTGTGTAGTGTACTGTAGATGGGCACTGAGCTACGCGAGGACGGGGGATTGAGAACGCATGCAGCCAGCACAGTGTCAAATTTATGCTTGGCAAAGAAGTCGAGATCTGGGGGCAGGAGGAGAAAAAAATAAAAAAGGAAATAGATTTAACAGGATCTATGAATAAGCCCTTAACTAAGCTCCCAAAACTGCTGCTTTCTCCTAATCTGCGTGGGGTGGTACCTCATGCAAAACAGGCCGGCAACTCCAGCCTGAAGAACGACCTGTCAAGTGGAGAATTTCAAAGCAGTATATAATTAACAGATTTAAACACCGCATTTACTGGCGTCTTATGTAAAAGTGCTCATTACTCCCAAACAACAAACAAAAACATATCGCCATCATCTTTTGCAAACAGTGCGTCGACTATTTCTTTCTAGCGCTACCGTGTCTAGCTGGCTTTGCTGTTGTTTCCATAGCGACATAGCTCTCTCTTCTTCCATTCCTACTTCTTTTCATCCTGCCAACAAAAGCCCTGTTGCACAATAGTAGCAGTGATCGTCTTCCTGCAGAAAGCTACTTTATCCAGCTACTCCCCCCTTCGGAGCATAGGTCCCTTGCAAACAGACAATTGAACTTGAAATTGCACTACAACACTGGCTGTAATCCACACCACGCACACAAGTGACCACACGTGTTTGTTTAAGCAAAGCCTGGGGTTGGTTCTGCTTGTTGCCTGCGGTCTACTTCGGAAAATAGCTTTGGAAATTGGACTCGAAAAGTGGAGAAATTCATTGTTTGGAATTGGGGTGGCTTTGTGCATGTCTTACTACTGTGTTACTCTATTTTCTGATTTGTATTATAATGTTGTTTTCTCCTTACAAACATACCTGGAGTTTTGTTTTGTTTCATTCACACATGTTTAACACACAAACTATGCAGATTTAGGCGGAGTTCTTCTCTTAAATTGAGGCTGAGTTCTTCTCTTAAACATAAACTCAAAAACACTCTGTTCCACCTTATGCTGTCATGTGGTAATACAGGAAGCACTCCATTGTGTTTTTAAACTCCACACATTTTACTTGAATCATTTGACTAATTTCAGCGATGGAATGGATATCTCTACTGAACTAAAGGTAAAGGTAAGGTAACTGTTAACTTGAAAACTAACACTACATGACATCACAAGGTGGAAC